ATTTCCTGAGGGCCAAGTTGAAAGATCAAAAGTAGTAAGAAATGATCACCATGATTGAAGTTCTATCTGTTTCAGATGTGGGGAGTTTACTAGTACACTTAATATTCAAGTATGGTACTTAGGTACAATTTTTGAGATACTTGTACTTTACTTGAGTATTTATTTTATACTACTTAGTTACTTCTACTCCACTACCAGGTTTCAGAAGGTAAATGGTGTACTGTTGCTCCACCACATGTCTATTTACACCTTTTAGTTACCTTTTATGCAGGGATGGCAACTTGATGGTGTGGGGCCACATAATTGATGTTACTGGCACCAGTCGGGGGCCCAGATTCACTTGGAACACACACAACACAAATTCCTTTGTTGTGTTGGTATGTATTATTAAGCAAATATACTAAGTCTGACATCTTCATTGACATTTTAAAATCTTTCAGGAACATCCTCTATAAGCTCACTAAACAAATATCAGTCATAGAAATGTTATTTAATTTGTACAAGTGGCATGTTTGTATTAGAACAGGTTATTTAAACAGAGATACCAAACTAATTTAAAACTCTTGGAAAAGCGCGGAAAATGTGTGTGCCTTAAAATTAACCATTAAAGATGACATAAACATGAAGCATGGAACACTACCCCAGACATTAAGCTTGTCTAACTTAACCTAAGACACTTGTAGCCAGTCTCTGCTGACGCACAATGAGGGAATGTGAACAGACACCTGCAACTCTCTGCTGTTCCCTCAGCGCCGCTCCCCCTCCCTCCCGCTGAAATTATGAATGAAAAGGCGTATAGTAAACTATAGATAACACGGCAGGGGTCGGTGACAGTTTGTTTTCAGAATAATTAAACTTGTTTGCCAATTCAGAGATAAATACACTTTTAAGCTTGTAGAAGGCTTAATACAAAGCGAGTAAACCTAAACGTCACAGCAGGCATAACAAAAGCTGGATGTTCTTGTGAGGATTCTCCGGGGAGAGAAAAAAAACATAATACACACAACGCGTCACAGATTATTTCACGGTATTGGCTTGCGAAACGAAAATCATGTACGCAGCTCGCGACGTAACTAGGAGGTCTAGGGACGGTAATCGAGATACTACAAGTAAAACAATTAAAGATTGATATATATATTATTTTTGTCCCTCCCAGGGGGCTGCGCAAAATAATGGATTGGTGGGTGTTTTTTTTTATTAATTACGTTGTTTTATATATTGTCTCAGGGCCGCTAAGAAGAAGAGGGATGGTGATGAGTGGTGCCGCCATTTGCCCATCATCCGCTTTACAGATGTGGAAGTTAAAGGTGGGGTAGGGTAATTTTGGAGAAACCAGCTCGAGTTGGCTAGTATAGAAATACATCATGTCCGGAAAAAAATCGATCCACTTCCCTTACAGAGCCCCTCCTCCAACCACTGCGGAACGAACGCGACACATGGGACCATATGAGGGTTTAGCGGGACCGGCTAAAAATGACTTGTCCGTTGTCGTTGTTTACAGTACTACGGCGTTCCGACAGATGACATTTTTTTATGATTATTTTTGTCAATAGCACTTAATGATAATTCATTGCTATCGGGTATGTTAAGAGCATTCCATGGTAATTATAACAAAAATGTTTCTCGAGCGCGGTTCTCAAACTTTACTCGTACCACCTTTAATGATGTGAAATTATAAGTCAAGTGTTAAATCATGACTTTTAGGTGTCTCACCTGAGTAAATCCACAAGTCATACCCTGCATGTGTATACAAAGTCATTCAATAGCTGAGAGAGATCCATTTACCAGCTTTGAGAACACTTTCATGATCAATCATACAAAAATCATTACAAAACATATCATATATATTATTCTGAAATGGACCAATCTGCACAATGACTACTTTTACTTTTGGTACTTTAACTATATGTTGATAATACTTTTCTAATTTTACTTGAGTAACATTTAGAATGCAGGACTTTTACTGTAACAGAGTGTTCCTACACAAGATCTGAGTACTTCTTCCACCTCCGTCTGATTTCAAACTCTTCCATAACACCCTGACTAAGTTTGCAGCTGTGTGTTTTGCTCCACCTTGTTGTAAATCAAACTGCAGCAGCTTGACCACAGAGCGTGAGCGTTGTGATCAGCTGATTTGTCGCAGTTCTCCTGTGTGTGCGCGGGGCACAGGAGGGGAGTCGCCGTCCGCAGCCAGTTGACGTAGTTTTGGCACACTTATGTTGTACATACCGACGTTAACAGCAGCCCTGTCTTTGCACACGGCACCAACTCTGTCGTCCAGTGATCTAAGCCTCTGCCTCCTGTAAAGCTTCACAGGTCCGTCGGTTATGGCCTGCGGCTCGGCCAGCTCTCAGTTCAATCAGTCCAAGAAAGTCTGAAGACGTTTTGCAGGGAACAAAACGCCAAAGTGGCTGCTTAATGTATTTTAGTTTTCTGGACCTGTCTAATAGTTTACTGCACTGAGTGTTGACAAGAATCACGTGTAGACGAAATATGTGTTTTGTTTTGATGACCTATCAGGTACGCAAAGGCGTGCAGTGACACAAGTGATGTTACGCATTTCAGATGTTGCCACACATGCGTACTTGCGTTATTTGCACCCCTGTCTATCACCCTTTCATGTCATGAGGAACCCTGATTTAACTCATGGAGCAGCCAGGAAGACAAAAGAAAAAGGGTACCACTTTACAATAAGACTACTCTTAGGGTTTAGGAATAGTTTGTAATTCATTTATTAATTTGGTTGTGAACACTTTATAAATCATTAATAAGCTTTTATAAGACATGAGATAAACAGGGCAACTGTGACTGGTTGCTTGCCAAATAGTGAGCCCACATTTATCTACTGCTAAGCCTTATATCGGCTACCTAGCTTACTTCATCTTCTTCATCAGCCAGCATCCTTGGTGTCTGTTGCTCACTGAGTTGATTCTCGCTACGTAGCCAATGTAAGGCTTAGTCATCTTGCCAAATAGTGAGCCTGTGTTGATGTATGGAAGCTATGTTAGAACTGGTTTATAAATGGTTCTTCATGATTAATAAAGTGTTTACAACCCAATTCATAACCTAATTATAAACTCTTAATGAAACCTTTATAAGGGTAGTCTTATTGTAAAGTGGTACCAGAAAAAGAGTACCGGTACAATAATTAATATTCCGGGTCGTCTACTTCCTGCACTTTTTTTAAGTGATCCGCTGCCACAACAACACTTCTAATGTGAACTACACCAACAGGTAAGGGATAATGTGCAGCAATCTGGTCATTAAGAAGAAAAGAACCCCACAATGCCGCTTATTACACGGCTACTTACAAAACAAAATTAATGTATTAATATCCTCGATTCTGTCATCAAGCTGTCTGTGTCTTTACTAGGGGAGTTCCGGCATCATAAATGAAAGTTTGCTGCTCTCCACCATGTAAAACTGAATATTGAAAAATGGTTCCTCGTGTTTTCTGATGGAGGAGAACAAATGTGTTTTTTTGGCCACAACTAATTAAATGAACCTCTTTCTGGTTGTTATGACTGCACATAGTCACTTGATCAGAGCTTCCTCAGTACCAGTCTGCCATTTGAAAAAGTCCAAATTGACCATCAGAATTGAGTATTCATCTCAGCTAATAAGTGGGATGACATCACTCCATTTGGTGTGCCCTGACTCTGAATGTTTCTCCCTGCAGCCCCCTGCAGAGGCCAGCTCCTCTGCTGCAGCCAGACCAAAGCCGGACAAGAAGCCCCTCCGCAGTGCAGGTGTGTATTTCCCAGGATGGAACACTGAGTGGGGGGCATTAAAGGCTACTCCTTTGTTCCCAAGACAACAAGTGCCATAAAACGAAGCTACACACACACAAATAACCTTAATGAGGCATTCTGTATACTGTTCCAGTATGAAGCTGTGTGGAGCACAGGGTGCTTCACTTTGATATGTCTAACCCACACAAATACACGTGTCACATAGGGCAACATACATGTACCAGTGCTTGAATGATTATTAACTAAAAGTCCCATTTTGTTTAAACGTTTGTGCATCTGTGTGTATTTAGTACTAGGCATGTCAAGATCCCAGAATATTATTGGATACGGCTACTAATAACAGTGACATTCCACGGTTCTCAATACCAATTCATCATCACAGTGAAACACTCAAATAAAACGTTGTATATGTGTATACCACTCCCATACCACCTGATGGTTGCCCTCCCAGCCCGCAGTACACATGGATAAAGATGTGCTGAGTCAGTACTGACACAATCTGACTCTGAGGGCATCAGGATGGACATCTGAAACATTGAGTACCACTATTAACATGTTGAGTTAAAAAGCCCAAAGGGTGTGGGTAGCTCCTTCTTGTTTTCTTCTCTTCAGCTCTACAGTTTAAACCAGGATGTTTTGCACATTTTTAGTATACTGAATCCTGTTTTAGCAATTATTCGTTGGTTTTCCTCTGCATTTTAAAATACACATGTGGCGGTAGAGCCTCAGAAGGGTCATTTGCAAGAGTCAGGTACTTGGACCACAGGTGCAGTAGTAGGGTGTGTACCGACACATAAACGTGTGTCTGTTGCAGCCTTTCTTACCTCCTTCTCTCTGTGTGTTTCAGACTACAGTCCCCTGAGTGGACAGGAGGGGGGCTCCTGCACCTTCAGGCCTGGCAGGAGGGGGCCGTCAGCTGGTGGATGAGGTTAAAGAAGGTCAGAGATGTTGATCTGTATGACCTTTGACCTCTGACATCTTGATGTGCAAACTGACTGGAGGGGGCTCAAACTTCACCGAGATGTTGTTGTTTTTTGACTCCTGTTTGATTCCTTATTTACTCTGTAATCTCTCAAAGATAACCGATAATCGTCCATTGTGCATCTTGAAGTTGAGAGCTTGTAATGATGCCATTCCTGTAAGCGGTGTTACCAGCAGGTTTGGCTGATGAACTTCAGTCAGTGTGTTTTTTCTCATGTGTTTGAATATGTTTCCATTAATGTGTTCCACCTACGCTTTTAACATGTATGTTGCTAGAGAAGTTGTAGCTAGTGGACATGTGGTTGATTATTAAAAATACTACATTCAGTTAATGTTTGGATCCATCAAAATGCAAGGATGTTTTTTTTTATACTGCTGTGCACATTTGTTATGTAATAGAAATGTGATCACTCTTATCGTTTACATCAATATCTGTTTTCTTTGATCTCAACTGAGGAGGTTTCATATCTTCTTATTAATAGAACATCTGATCTTAAGTGACTCACTATAATGAATAGAATAGAATATATCTTTATTGTCGTCATACAAAGTACATCGACATTTCTTTGGCAACTCTGCATAAAAAACAAAACCGAGTGCCATAGCTGCCTGAAATAGGTGAAATGACAAGCGTCAAGCCAAGCCCAAACAGACTGAGTTACTGTTGCCCCCCAAATATAGTAAAACAATGTCCAGTGATTTAAGAGTAGTGGCATTGAATTGAATTGAATTGATTTATTTAAAACAAGGGACAGTGTACATCAATCCACATATATTAAAAACATGTAAAAGTACTCGAATTAGCCAAAAGGCTAGTTTTCATCGATAGTCCCTTTGCCAGATGGTGATAGACATCCTAAAAGCAATAATAAAAATACCACAACATTGTTATATCATTGTACATATTTACAATAGATGACATCACTGAAGAGCAAGTCATGATAATAAATAAATAAATAAAACATTTACAATACACACTACAGCATGTCCATAACCTTGAGGAGGTCAAGTGGATTGTCAATCAATCAATGTTTATTTATACAGCCCAATATCACAAATGTTACATTTGTCTAAGTGGACTTCACAGTTTGTACAGAATATCAGTATGACAAAATGTGCAGTCGTCTTTGTCTCTCTCTACGTCCTTCCCCCCTCTGTCCAGAGGGGGGGGGGAAATGTCTGCGACACAAAATCCTCTCTTGTTTATGTTCACATCTCATTCACAAAAATTAATGTAGCGGGGAGACAGATGCGACTATTCTTACCGTCCTTCCCCCCTCCTCCCTCGTCCCGTCCGAGTGGTCAGTGGGCGTGTGGGTGTGTGGGTGTGTGATGTGGTGTGTGTGGTGTGTGTGTGGTGTGTGTGTGTGTGGTGTGTGTGTGTGTGTGACACTCTGGTAGGGTAGGTGATTATCCATGAAGTTGTAATCAATTGGTCAGAGGGTTCTCTTGATATTTTGTAATACTTAGTATCACGATATGTGTTATTATGTTATATATGCGTGTCTCCAGCAAGAATTGTGTGTTGTATCGTTGTAATGTATTAAATACGTTCATGAATGGTCTCAAAAAGTCTGCTAGCCAGTCCTTTTGCTCTCTTCTGTACGTCTCACCAAGTAGTAGTGGAAAGAGAACGCATCTTTGATCTATGAGATATTTGGAATCGGTCCATACCGATTTTTAATGTTGTAGTCAGGATTAGGAACGTACATCTGTCTCGAAGAGTATCGATTAATTTTGATTAATTTGTTTAGTATAATTGAATTAGATTAATCTATGCCTGTTATTTCAAACATATACACTGAAATCAGTATTCATCGTGACTCCCCGTCGAAACGGACGTAGTGCGTCTTCCTGCCTCCAAACTCTGCTCTCATCTATAATCGGAATCTAGGCAATCTTTCCCCGACTAGGGGACTACTTCTTCCGGTCACCCATTTATGTAGTTATGATAAAAATTGATAATACAAATAACCCGAGAAAGAAATACCTCCGGATTTTATTCTAAACTACATCGGGCCAAGTGTCGTCCCCAATCCCCTCTGGCAGAGTGGTGTGTGTGTGTGTGGGGGGTGGTGGGGAGGTTGTGGGTTTGGGGTTGAGGATAGCTGCCTGTAGAGTTGTGGATGAAGACCCTAAGTTGTGGAGCTTGTTTCCCCTCCGCCTTGAGATCGTGTTAAGACGTATTAAGCCCCGCTCCTACATGGACGAGTGAGAACATACGTCGATGATTATCTCTGAAGCTGAGCGCCGTACGTTTAGATGATGCTGACCAAGCTTTAGTAGCAATCAACTTATTTTCTATTCGATGTTCTACGCGACGCTATTTGAATTTCTGGCTGGGAGACGAGTATCTGTGATGGTATAACTTTGTTTCTTCTTTATTTTGTTGTCTGATGCGATGATACCGTATTACGTGGCTTTGGTGAGTTTTATTTCGTTCAACTCTGTGCTAATTGTTCCTATGAGCCGTCAAGTGATTTGAACTTCGTTAGTGCGTATAATTAAACGTATAATTTGAGAGTAGCTTAGAATTGCTTCGTGACGGCATTTCGCTCTGATCGCATGATGAGAAGTAATATCTACCTTATTCTTATTACGTTGTATGAAGAAAGAGTCGACGATTCTCCGTCTTCTGCTCGGTGTCAGCTACTCGGAAGATGGAAGGTATCGTGTTAGCATCATTTAGGCTAAATATTTACACGAGAAAAATTGGCTATTTAGCATATGAGATATTCTTGTGTAATTACTTGAGAACGGAAACCTGGTCATATCATAGTGTTGGATTAGTTTGTCGAGGCCTTTGTTCTTCAGAGATTTATAATTGTGATCTAGTGTCAGTTGTATTGACTGAAAGGTTAGCGGATGTTTTGGAGGAGCTTGTTAATTTAAGTTACTAATAGAGAAGATTTGGAGTGCACATAGAATCTGGGCTAAGGTTGATTCGAGCAATTTATTCAAAAAGTAACTTAATTCTGAAGAAATAATTTATAATACTATACTGAAATAATAATCCGATACCAGTTTTAGTAAGTTTCATCACGTCACTATTTTGGCGAAGAATTTTTCGTGTTGACTAGTGCTCCAAAAATCGTTGGGTTGTATTCTAATTTCTAATCTTTATGTCAAGTGATTTAGGAAGGCTAAGAGAGTTTAGATGAACTCTTCGTCGGAGCGTTTGTCGACATAGTGAATGAAATTTATGATGAGCTGACTGAACTAAACTTCGGTATAAGAATAGTCAGACGAAAATCTTGTTTATGTCGGTCTCTTCGAGTACCAGTCAGTGTTTTGATTGTTGAAGTATTATCGAAGGTCTGTTCCGCTGAACAAGATAAGAACAAAACGGCTAGAGTCACGACGTAAACTATGATAGGCTGTAGGTGCTTATGTGAGGATTAACAGTGTGTCTGATCCTCTGTGAATCAACCGTATGTCTCCTGACGAAATTCGCTGACCAAAATTCAGGGATAGATAGACTTTGCGAGAGTCACATGCACAGTGCTACTAGGAAGGTGCGTTTTTTCTACATAGTTATAGAAGGGCGCAATCCGTTATAATTATTCCTTAGTAAGACATTTGAAAGTAAACAATACGCCTACTATAGTGATATAAATTAGTTAGTTGCGGACTACTTAGTTAGTTAGTATGATTTATATTTAAGTTCTGACGGAGTCCTTGAAATTTTGACCTACTACTGGAATTTAAGAAAACTACAATAGTGTTGGCTGTGTTTTGACTTCAATAAGATAACCGGGCTTCTATAGATGCTTGTTAAATAATTTCTATATGGATTGATATACCTACCGTTAATTAAACGGAGGTCACTCGGACATTCGCTTTAAGAACCACAATATATAACTAGTCCCTAAATTGGAGAATGTGGGAAAGTGCGGTGTATATTTAGTTAGGATTCCTGGCGCGAGTGAAGAAGGTAGATGCATTGTAACGTTTTTAGTCCGTATAGAACGGAGTTTGCTACGTCTCTTTGTCAGGTGACTGTATATGGATAAGGACCAGTATGAGTTCCGACCTAATAAAGCATGTGGAGAATAATAGTCCCACATGTTTCGTCCAGTCAGTTTTCAGCGGAAGTCGACCTAGTTTGAGCGATCGTCGAGCACAACATGTGGTCTCAATTCCTTTTCCCTGGTGTAATGATTTGGACAAGGACCGACCGGATATGTGACCGAAGGATCATCTTGTGTCCTATGTTATAAAATTTTTAAGAAGAAGAGTGGATGTTCGGAATTACCCGTCCGCGGTAGAATGGGGAATTTCTTGAGCTGTAATATGGGGATGACAGGATTGATCCCGTAACGCAAGGTCTTACGTCCCAACAACCAACAAGGATCTTCAGAGATTTTCATGTTACCCTCGGCTCGAAAAGAATAGTTCCGGAGTGAAGACACTTAGTCGGAAGTCAAACACAAGCCGTGCGTCTCGGGGATAGATTGCAAAAATTTCTCAACGCGAATATTCTGGAAGGAAAAACTATTTCGAAAATCTATAATCCCGGACTAATCTAATCCGGGATTTCAAAAACGACTATATTATCCGAATCAAACAGCCCCCTTGTAGAATGAAGAAGGAAGGAGAGACAGATATGGGACTTACATGGAGTAGTGACAAGGCTAATTGGGGTCGCGAGGTTTAAAGTAAAGAAAAACCACAAGATATATGCGCTGCGCCTAGGCTCAGTACCCTACTAGGACACGCCAGAGACACAGTACCTAGCGCTCAGGACCCTAGAACTCAGCACCGACACCAGACCCTAGTATTCAGGACCTACCTATAGGAGCACCCAAGTAAGAAAGATAATATGTGTGTACGTAAAGGTGTTTGTAAACCAGATGGATACCAACGTTTACATAATAGAAAGTTAAATTTTGTGCCCGTAGATAACGTGGCAGACAGGGCAGGACCCTCTTCCCTAAGGGAGAAGACAACGAGAGGGACTCCAAAGAGGGTAAAAGGGGAAATTTTGACACCCCAAAAGCGGCCTTCAAAAAGGAACATGCTACACCTCACAGATTCCTGTCTC